CCCCAACACGATCCAGATTTCTAGCAGCATGGATCCATTTTACTGGTTTTCTGTTTTATTCAAATGGAAGCATAGCGTATATTCTCTTTGGTGTCTGACTTTTTTGTTTGTTTGTTTGTTTGTTTGGTACGTGCCCCTAGCAGGAACCAAACCCAGGACTCTGGTCCACAGGCCAACGTTCTAACTGCTGAGCCAAACCAGCCAGGGCTACGTCTGACTTCTTTTGCTTCACATGATGTCTGGAAGATTCATCCATGTGAGTGCATGTAGCAGAGGCTTGTTCTTTTTCCTTGCAGTAGAGTATTCCAATAGATGACTCCTATGCCATTTATCAGCCCGGTTTCCTACTGACGGCATTTGGGCAGCTTTGGGTTTTGACTCTTCTGAACAAGGCTGCAGTGAACAATCTAGAACGTGTCTTTTGGTCAGCATACATACACATTTCGGTTGTACCTAGGCCAATTCTAGAATCGTGAACCACAAAATAGACTTGCTGTTCTAGAATCCTAGGGCCATAAAATTATTGTCTCTTAGAACTATAGCATGTGTAGGGTGGTGAATACACAATACAACATACAGATACTGTATTATAGAATTGTACACTTGAAACCTATATAATTTTATTAAGCAATATCACCTCAATAAATTCAATTAAAAAGTGAAAACAAACAGTCCAGCCAGTGTGGCTCAATGGTTGAGCGTCGACCCATGCACCAAGAGGTCGCTGGTTCGATTCCCAGTCAGGGCGCATGCCCAGGTTGTGGGTCCAATCCCCAGTGGGGGGGCATGCTGGAGGCAGCCAATCAATGTTCTCTTTCATCGATGTTTCTTTCTTTTTTTTTTGGTATGTGCCCCTAGCAGGAACCGAACCCGGGACTCTCTGGCCTGCATGCCGATGCTCAACCGCTGAGCCAAACTGGCCAGGGCTTTCATCAATGTTTTTATCTCTCTCTCCCTCTCACTTCCTCTCTCTCTAAAATCAATAAAGGGGAAAAAATTTTTTAAGTAAAAACAAACAAGCAAAATAAACACTGCAGACTTGAAAAAAAAGAACTAAAGTATGCCCTGGCTGGTTTGGCTCAGCAGTTGGAGCATCGGCCTGTGGACCAGAGAGTCCTGGGTTCGGTTCCTGCTAGGGGCACATACCAAAAAAAAAAGAACTAAGTATTTGTTCTCATTAGGGCAGATCACTTTTAAGGAGGCAAAAATTGGTTCTTGGGGAGCAAAGAAAATCTTACTCTTTCTGTGTATTAAGCACAGATATGCATATAATGCACAAACAGATTTACAGTATATCTGTGGTATTAAATTTTCATGGGGGAAGAAATTAAAATTTTTTCAAGTCTCAAGGGAGTGACAATAAAAAAATTATTGAGGCCCTGGCCAGTTTGGCTCAGCAGTTAAAGCGTCAGCCTGCGGTCCAGAGAGACCCTGGTTTGGTTCCCGCTAAGGGCATGTACCTCAGTTACAGTTTGTCCCCAACCATGAATGGGTCAGGCTAGTGGCAGCCACTCGATGTGTCTCTTTCACGTTGATGTTTCTTTCTTTCTCTCTCTCTCTCTCTCTCACCCTCTCTCTCTATCTGAACAAAATATCGAAAAATGTCCTCGGGTGAGGATAAAAAAAAAATGGTTGAGGAACACTGAAATAAAGGAATGAATGATTCTAGAATCTTAGAACTGCAGTATCTCTCTCTCTTTTTTTTTTTTGTATCCTCACCCGAGGACACTTGCATTCATCTTCAGATAGAGTGAGTGGAGAGGGAGGAAGAGAGAGAGAAACATTGATGTGAAGGGACACATCGAGTGGCTGCCACCCACACGACCAACCAGGGCCGGGGACAAACTGCAACTGAGGTACGTGCCCTTAGCGGGAACCAAACCCAGGTCTCTCTGGACCGTGGGCTGATGCTCCAACCGCTGAGCCAAACTGGCCAGGGCAGAACTGCAGTATCTTAAACAGTTTAAGCAGACAGATTCTTAGAATTTTGCAATCTCAGAGTAAGAGCAGAGAATTCTAGACTCCAGAATTGAAAGCCACTGACTCTCCAAGCTGGAAAGAACTCTCTGGATCAGCAAAGACAGCTGCCTCGGTTTACAGATGAGAAAGCTGAGGCCCAGAGAGGGTCAAGACGTATCCAGTGATGCACACAAGCCAGTGATACGGCTAGCTTTCTTTTTTTTTTTTTTTTTATCCTCACCCGAGGATATTTTTCCTTTTTTTTTTTTGTACAGATAGAGTGGGATGGAGAGAGAGGAAGGGAGAGAGAGAGAGAAACATCAATGTGAAGGGACACATCGAGTGGCTGCCACCCGCACGACCAACCAGGGCTGGGGACAAACTGCAACCGAAGTACGTGCCCTTAGCGGGAACCGAACCCGGGTCTCTCCGGACTGCAGGCCGACGCTCTAAATGCTGAGCCAAACTGGCCAGGGCACGGCCAGCTTTCTTTCAAGCCCGGTTCACACACTCCCCATCTCTGCATAGTACCCCTTACAGGCCAAACCTTGAGCAGGGGCTGGAGACCCACGCTGACTCAGACAGGGCTCACACTTTCTCGGTGGTTTCTATTGGCCTCAGGCACATGCCCAGCACCCACCAGGCAGAATGGAGCACCACCCTGGCTCCCAGCCCCGAGATGCTGGTTCTCCAGCTGGCAGGACCCGCGCACTGCCTACCTCCAGGGCAGTGTGTTATGGCTGTCCTGCCACCCCGTACCCCTCCAGTGATGAGGGGGCCAATTACTAATTAGCAGAGGCACCAGGCTGTGAGTTGTTGGCAGCTGTGAGAGAACAGGTGGGCACGGGTCCAGCTCCACACAGCTGGCTTTCCCACCCCTGAACAGTTGCTTCACAGTCCCCAGGGACCGCTGCCAATGTTTGAACATGAAGATGAAGGGGTTGGTGCTGCTGGGCTTCAGCTGCAGCAGAAGGAACCTTTGGCTGGGGGTCGTGTCAATTACACAGACCTGGAAGCACATCCCCACCCTGCCATTCACTTGCTGAGTGACCTTAGGCAGGTCATTGATCCCTCGTGATCAGGGTGATGGCGGCCACCACGAGGATGATTGGAGCTCTTGATCGAGGTGACAGAACTCAAGATGAAAAAAATCCATTTGGCAATTATTCCAGCAAGATAGGAATGTTAGCTTCGTCTTTCAGAAGATGAAACAGGTTTAGAGCCAGCACCTGCCCAAACTCAAACAGCATGTTAGCACCGTGAAGGCTGGGAGGCTCTGACCCCCAACGGTGCAGGAGGCTGGACTGGAGCATGAGCAATCCCAGACGGGTTTCTTCTCGCAGGTGGCCTGCTGTGGAACCAAACCAGATCTCTGGCTTCCCAGGTGAGCCTCACCTGGTGTCCCTCCCCCCTCCCCCACCTCCTGCCTTCTTCCCAGGACTCTCTGTGCTGCTGGTAGGGGCATGGCCATGGCTGTGTCTCGCTGGGCGCTGGGCTCTGGGGCCGCCTCTTGGGGCACAAAGACCCAGGTAAGGGGGCAGGTAGCTGCGCCAGGGCAGATGGTTCCTGAGGCCCGGCCATCCACTTGTGACCCCTCCTCCCCATGGCAGAGGTGGGAACTGCAGCCACTTGGTGAGGATGGACTGTGTCCCCGTCTACTACTTCTAGGAGGGAGGCGGGGTTGGGGGATGAAAAGAGGGGAATAGATGGAGAAGGCTACCCCCTACATCCATGCTTTTCAGAAGCAGAGACAAAGCCCCCAGAAGTGAGCTGGAAAAAGCCAAGCTCTCTAAAGTGACTGCCCCTTCTTAGTCTTTGTCATCCCTCCTGAAGAGGTAATGCCCTTTATAGCAACTTCCTGTACTGGCCCAGGGGGCCCCCAAGAAGACTGAGGCATGGCCTGTGGAGGGAAGGTGCTGGGCGTCCCCCAGGAGGGCCAGCGAGTCCATAGCTTCTATCCCATCTCGTTTCCCCACCCTCAACCCCTCAGTGGCATCTGGCCCCCAAACCTTGCCCAGCCCCAGTCACCCTATTTCTACAGGCTGAGTGTCTTCTGGCCCAGGGTCCTCTGAAGTGTGAAGAGGCGTCACAACCGGTCAGAACTGGTTCCGGTGGTGTCAGGGAGCCCAGCAGCCCGTCCTGAGACCCTGTCCTTATTTCTTTGACCATGGACCTCTCCCTTGCCCCCAGAATAACCAATCAAGGCTTATGAAGAAGGCAAATCCAGACCCTGTGGTGACTTGAGGGAGCTAAAAAGATTCGAGGGGTCATCTGGGGGCCCCAGGATCCCCAGGGATGGCTGGAGAGGTCCACTGTGGCAATGGTGCTCTGTGACAACTCGTCAGCTCCCCCTTCTTATCCTTGGAGGGACATGTCCACTTAGCAGAAAAGTGATGCCCCACCTCCAAATAGTGCCCTGAGCTGGAAGCCGCAGTCCCCAGCTTTATCTCCCCCCAGGTACGCTTGGAGATGGGGGTGAGGAGGGAGATCGGGACTCCCTGGCATTTATCAGCCTCCAAGGTCTCCTGCCCAACAGTCACCTTGAAGTGACACCAGCTGGGCCTGGCTCCCCTCCCCCACTTCTGCTGTTTCCATGGGGACAGATGTCCTTTCAGCAGCAGCATCAGGCCTCAGCTGCCCACCCCAAAGGGGAGGAAGGGCTGGGTGGGGGCGGGGCTGGCCTGAGAGCCCTCTCTGGGTTTCTTTATCTTTTTTATCTGTGGGGCTCCACTGTCAACAGCTTTCGGAATCTTGGTCCCCCCTGTGAGCAATTCAGCTTCCAACCCCAGCTCTGTCCCCAAAACGAGGAGCTGGGGATGCCTTTCTCCCTCCAAGTGTTGGTCTTTTTCATCCTTCCCAGGGGGCTGGGATCCCGGCCTCCCAGTAAGGACACTTGAAATACACAATAACTTATTTATTTTCCAGGCCAGAGGACTTGCAGACACAATCTCGGACCCTAGAATCCAGAAGGGGGCTAAGAAGGCAGCCCGTAGAAGACTCAGGGCCTGGGAGAGTAGGAAGTCTCTCCTCCTGGCCTCCTCCAGGACTGGAAAGGCCTCCAGCATTTGCAGCCAGTGAATCTCAGCCTCACGGAGCAGGGCAGGGGGCAGAGGCCGCAGGGCAGGGGCTCTGCGTGACCACCGGGTACAGCAGGGCCAGGTGCTCGGCGCCCTGCACAGGCAGCGGGCGTGAGCTGTAATGGAGCACCAGCTCGGGCACACTGGCGAAGGGGCCGCTGTGCTGACCCAGCACCAACTGGTTCTCTCGGGTCCTCGAAAACTTCAGATGCAGGAAGCCCTGGCTGCTTCTGGGGAATGGCATCATATGGGGCCTTGAGCACCCCAGACCCCAGCACACTCCAACCCTGAAGCCACCCCCACCTGGCCCCTAGGACCTGGGGCTGGTATCCCCAAATATTTGCAGTAAACAGCTAGTTGGTACCAAGGTGTTGGCTTGCTCCACACAGCAGGAATGCCTTCTATGCTTGTCACTTATCTAGGCAGGACAGAGGTCCTGCCAGGGGACAGTTCCCCCCACCCCCAGACATGACCTGCACTTTCTCTCCAAACCTCCTGACCCCTGGTGCAACCCTGCCTGACCTCCCCACTAGTTAACCCCCAGTCTGAGGTACCTTTCCTTTCTGTCTCTGGTGGGTGGAATGATGTAGAACCTGGGGATCATTTTATCAACATCGTTAATATGAATCAAGTACTTCCTGTTTCTGGGGCACTGTTCTCAACATTTTTTCATGTATTTCTTTCCATTTAATCATTGCAGTATTACCGTGAAGTTGATGCTATTACCCTCCTTTCATAAACGAGGAAACCAAGGCCCAGAGAGGCTGAATAATTTAGCTAGTCATACAGCTAGAAAGTGGTAGAAGCAGGATTTGAACCTGCCTCCAAAGCCCTCTTCAATCTTTTAGCAATCTCACACTCAGATACCTAGTAGAATCTTAGGAGTGTTGTATAATCAGACACACTTAGAATCTTAGGCAGAGAAGCACATAGAACCAGGCTCTCAAACTCAAATGCCTGCAGGGCTACTCAGATTCTGGCCCCATACAGACACAAGTGAATATATATTTTAACTTTTGGACTGGGGGAGTCCAAAGAAAATTGATATCTGGTTCTCCATCTCACCCAAGTCCTAGATCTACTGTATGGCTTCCACTCCATCTTCTTGCATACCTCCAGTGACGGGGAGTTCATTCTCAGAAGGAACCTTGCCTGTGGTCTCCCTGGAAGCCCTACCCACTGGTCCCATGAGTCCCACTCACTGGCCTGAAAGCCATGCCCACTGGCTACTGGGGCTACATCCTTCTGCTCCCACTGAATTAACCCGAAAACGTGACACATGCGGTCCTGTGACCTTCGGTTCCTCCAAGAGGCTGGGGTCTCACCTGAGGGACAGGGAGCAGTCTTGGGGGTTGGTCTCGCTGAACCGCACAAGGTAGCTGCCTTCCTTGCAGAGCAAGAGGAGGTTTTCGGCATCTGCCCGGCTCAGAGGGCCATGAAACCATCTGGGGTGTGGGGGCAGATGTCTCAGGAAGGGCGACCCCCCTTCAAACACACCACGGGGTCTGGTACAGGCACAGCTGGTTAAAGGGCTTTTGACCTCCAGGCAATCGAGAGAAAAATTCCCTTGGGTTTCTCAAGAGGAGCCTGGTTCCCCCAGGGAGGCAGCTGAGCCCAGTCAGTGTGGAGCTGCTCTGGCCAATTCAACAGTTACACATGACCTTGATCTTAACAGCCTCCCTGGGCTGGATAGTTCAGCCCGCTCCTTACTTCCCCAACTTAAATCAATTGCGTATCACTTTTACAAGATTTGCCACATCCTGTATCCTCACCCACCTGTACCATTCTTTACTTAATATTTTTTCTTTAACATGCTCGGAGAGAGGTAGCCATTGTGAGCAAGGTGTCAGAGACAGATGAGCATCAGGGACTTTGTGGTTGTTTGTATGGAAAGAAAATTGAAAAGAGAATAAACTTCTCACCCTATGCTGTAGTGTTAATTAGCCAGGGTTTATGCCCACCTACAAGGCTTGGAATGACTGTGATAAACACACCCACAGGGCTGGGGTCTGGGTGGGGCTTAGAGAGTTCCTCAAGGGCTGCTAGGCTGGAGGGACACAGAGAAGACCCAAGCCCTCCCAGCTCGTGCACCTTGCCCCAGCCCAAAGTTGGAACCTCTTCAAAATCCTATTCTTGCCCTCGCCTGTTTGGCTCAGCGGTTGGAGCGTCGGCCTGCGAACCAGAGAGACCCAGGTTTGGTTCCCGATAGGGGCACGTACCAAAAACAATAAAACCCTATTCTTCCCAGTCCTACCCTGGGGATGAGAATGGTTTCTGTCTCTGTTCTCAGTTTTTATAAGCTTCACCCAAGTGAAGGGAGGAAATCCCTCTGTACTGAGCTACGTACCATCTTGGGGTTTTAAGCGCAAGACTCAGAGAAATTAAGTGCTCAAGGTCGCACGGCTAGGAGATACAGAGCAGGGATTTGAACCTGGAGTCTGATGCCAGAGGGACCTGAGACTCCATCTGATTCTGCTTTGCATCTAGCTAAGTGGTCTGGCGCACAGCAGGCACTGGCGCCCAGTGAAGAGTAATTGAAGAAATGAACGAATGAAAAAGAAATGAATGAAAGAACGAACGAACCGGCTCCCCTAATCCGGGCAATTTGTAGCTGGTATGGGGCCGGGAGGGATTCAACCCAGCTTTTCCATCTTCAGTTTCCCCACTCACGGCTGTTTCTCCAGGGGCAGGGCGGGGTCCACGCGCTCTGCAGGATGGGGGCTTCTGGGTGGGGGTCTCCGGAGCTCCTTGGCTGAGCCTGGGGTCCTTTCCCACTCTGGACTGTCAAACTGCACTGGAGGGGGAGGGTTAGAGAGTAAAGTTTAAGTCCAACCTACCTGGGGGGCGAGGTGGGAACAAGCCAATGGAGTCCAGAAGAGGAGAGGCCAGGGCCCAATTGGTATGGGAACAACAGATTGGCTTTCAGAGGAAAGGAGTGTAGTCATCCATAAGTCTAGTGGCATAGAAGGCCGGGGCAGTTTCATGAGTGACAAATCAGAGAGCAGGGGTCATGGCTAAAGGGGTGGGTTGGAATTTTGCCCCATTCCCAGCAAATCATAGAACAAGATAACAATCCCCAATATACAGACAAGTAAACTGAGGCACTGAGTTCAAATTCCCCTCCCTGTCATTACAACTTATGGGCAAATTTGGGTTCGCACAACTCTTACTGGTCCAAGTTATTTTATTTCTTAAAGCTAATTTTAGTCCTTGACTTAAAAAAAAAAAAAAGCTGATCTTATTGTTACTCCTTTTATAGAAGAGGAAACTGAGATTCACAGACTTGTCCAAGCTTACCCAAGTCTAACTGATGATAGCTACAAAGAAATGCTATTCTCGCCCTGGCCGGTTTGGCTCAGGGGTTAGTGTGTCGGCCCGTGGACCAGAGAGACGCAGGTTTGGTTCCTGCTAAGGGCACATAGGTTACAGTTTGTCCCCAGCCCCGTTTGGGGTCATGTGGGTGGCAGCCAGTTGATGTGTCTCTCTCACATCGATGTTTTTCTCTCTCTCTTCCTTCCTCTCTCCCTCCCGCTCTATCTGAAGATAAATGCAAAAATGTCCTCTGGTGAGGATTAAAAAAAAGAAAAGAAAGAAAGAAATGCTACTCTCTCCCCCCAACAACTCCTATGTAATTGAGCATTTTATAGCACTCAATTTCCAAGAACCCTATTCAGTAGATACCATAATGATTCCCATTTTACAGGTAGAGAAACTGAGACTCAGGGAGATAAAATGGTTTGCCCAAGTAAGTGACACAAACCCAGGTCAAAGCCTTTCCCTTCACTATACTGAGCAGAATGAGTAGGCCCTATTGCATTCTAAAGGGTGTTTCAGTTTCCAAGGAAGACAGTTTCTTCCTTGGAAGAGAAATCTATGGCTATCAGTCATTCACAATTCAGTGAAAATTAACAAACTAACCAAGTGGCAGATAATTGGAGTCTACTTTGTAAGTTAAAACAGGGGATGTGCCCTGGCCAGTTTGGCTCAGCGGTTAGAGCGTCGGCCCGCGGACCAGAGAGTCCCAAGTTCGGTTCCCGCTAAAGGTATGTACTGGTTGCAGTTTGTCCCCAGCCCCGGTTGAGGTTGAGTGGGTGGCAACCCGACAGTCGATGTGTCTCTCTCACGATGTGTCTCTCTCACATCAATGTTTCTGTCTCTCTTTCCCCCTTCTCTCCCTCCTGCTCTATCTGAAGATAAATGCAAATAATGTCCTTGGATGAGGATTAAAAAAAAAAAAAAACAGAAGAAAAAAAAACCCAGGGGATGTGACCAGAGCAGGAAATAGAGGGACTCAGACATTTAGAAGTCCAGGCCTGCGTCAGAGAAGCACCTGCAAATGCCTTGGAGATGTGGTCTTTCTTCCACTCCCAGGGCTGATCATACTCATCTGCTGGCCGTTCATCTTCCTGGGGCAGCCGGCTCTGTCGAGGCTTCTGCCCTGAAAGGGGCCTGTGTCCTGGCTCCCCATCCTGCTCCTCATAGGGAGTGTCATACAGCTGCACTGCCCTGCAAGGCAGATCTGGGAGGCGGGGGACACTGGTCAGATCCCACTCCCACTCCCACCTGGGACCCTGTCACCCTCCCCCAAGCCCTGCTTACTCACCACTCATAACCCGCTGGGCATCATAGGGTTCCATGTAGCCATCATCTGGGGGTGGGGGATGTGGCTGGGCATCAAAGGGGTCTGAGTACTCAGTGTCAACTTCCAACTGGGGAGAGAAGGAAGGGGGTTCACAGGCCCAGGGGGACCAAGCCTGGCTCTGGATACTCCCTGCTTGGTGATGGTACACCCCTGCCGGCCTTCTCTGGGCCATCTGACACAAACCTTCATGCAGTTCTCTTTTGGAGGGTGGGAGCAGGGAGGGAGTAACCCGTGAATGTTTACAGACAGATGCTAGCTTCCCTTGCTCCCTTCCTTCACACAGTTCTGATCCTTCCCGACACAGATCCCTTGCCTCCCTTCTTCAATAATTTTAATGTTTATCAGCTGCCAGTACTGTTCAAAAGGCTTTACATATATTGACTTGTCATATGAACACCCAGTATGCACATTGACCCCATTTGACAGATGAGGAAACCGAGGCACAGAGAGGGTAAGTGACTGGATCAGGGTCACAGAACTGATTTTGATCCCAGGTCCCGGCCTCCTCCTCCCTTTCTCTGTGCCATCAACCCAACACAGTCTCTCCTAATCCTCCCCAAATCCTTCTCTGTCTCCATTGAGGGTTTGCAGTGATCCTCTCTAAGACAAATACTACAAAAAGCATGAACATTGGAGGCAGGTCTGGAGCTAGAGCCATGTGACCTTGAGCAAGTTGCTTCTCTATTTTTCTGTGAGCCTCAGTTTCCACTTCTGTAAAATGGGAACAGCAGAGGAATTTCAAAGAGCAGGGTTGAGAATGTTTAAGAGGGGTGTGGGGAGTGAATTGCTCAGATCTGTTTTAGGAAGCTCCCTCCAGCTGCCAAGAGGAAGGAAAGCGGAGGGAAGAGGACTGGAGAGAGAAATCAGGCAGTAGGAGGTCAGGAGGACAATGCAGGGCAGTCAGAGAGACTGGTGTGACCAGCACTGTGTACTGAAAAGGGATAGACAGCAAACTTCACCCAGCAGGTGAAGGACTGGGGAGTATCTGGCTAGCACCCTAGCCTGCCCCTGGAGTCACACATTAAACATGCTCCCCAAAGTCCAGGGGCCCAGCCTTGCCCTCCCCACCCAGTCTCCTGGGCACCCAGCTTCCGACACTTAGCCACGCACCTCTGCCCCTGCACTGCCCAGCAAGACCTTGGCTCGGGCCACGTCGGCCATGTCGGCTGCCTCTACCTTGATGAGCCGGTGCTTGGGAGAGTCGTACTTTGAGTCCCCGGGGCCCGCAGGGTCTGGCTCCAGGCGGCTGTCCGCGTCCTCATAAGGGTCCTCGAAGTCCAGATTCTTCTGTTCCAGGTAGGCCCGCAGGATGTCGCTTTCCGTGTAGTCGGGAGTGGGTGGCTGCGGAGGGGGTCTCCGACCGCCAAAGCTCAGGTAGTCCCGTAGCCACTTGGCCATTTGGGCCCGCAGCACCCCAAACCTGGCTACTATCAGAGGGGGACCCCTCCTCAGCAAAGCCCCCAGGAAGGTAGAGGAGGAAGGGGAGGAGTGGGAGGAGGAGGAAGAAGATCAGGTGTGCCCCTTGGCTGGGCTCAGAAGGGGTAAAAAGGGGAGAAAAAGGAGGAGACAGAGGAGGGAGGAAGCGCCAAAGCCCACCTTAGCCGGGCTCTGAAAAGCCCGCGGGGGAAGACGGTGATCCGCGGGGCCCCGACCGCCGTGCGTGGGGTCGTCCGGCCAGGGCGAGGGGCATCCGCCGCAGCGCGTGGAGTTTCTGCGGGCAGTGAGGTCCCTGTGTGCAACTCTGCCTCCGGGAAGCTCGGGGATCCCTCCTGGGGTCCAGGGGTCGAGGAAAGCGCCGCCTGCGGACGCCCCGAACCCTGGCTCAGTCCGGACGCCCGGGTTCTCAGTGCAGCGGGCGGGCTCCCCCGGGGCGCGGGCGCCCTGCCCAAAGTTGGGCCGCCGGGACCTTGACCCCGACGCGGTGCATCTTTTGTGGCGCCCCCCACCGTTCCGGGGGGAGCCACATCCCTCGGCCCCCCGCCCCGCCGCCTCGATCCGGCCCCGCCACCGGCACAAAGGGAAATAAAACCTCCTGCAATAACCCTGCCCGTTTTCGGAGACTTGACACGCCGCCGGCGGCGCGCAGCCCAGAGGGGGACTTCGGGGAGGGGTGCGCAGGCGGACGCCCCCGTCCCCACCAGCCTCCGGCCGGTCCGGGCAGCTACGTTACGGGTTCTCCGTTCTCCACCTCCCTCTCCGCACCTTTCCCCACTCCCTCCCCTCCTCCTGCGTTCCCTTCGGAGGTGACTGAGACCTTCGGCTGTTCTGGGGAGGCAGGGGAGCCGCTGCCCACGCAGGGAGGGGGATGCGAGGCAGGCGTCTCGGGCCGAGGCCGCGGCAGCTGAAGGAACGCGGCCCGGAGGGCAGAGGCTGGCCGGCGCGAGCAGGAGCGCGGGAGGTGGGAGCCGACAGGGGCTGACCTTCAGGAGTGTGAGAGGTGCAGAGGCGGGTGGGGGAGAGGGAGGGAGGTGGAAATTGGCCGGGAAATGGGGGGCTGGACTTGACCACGAGACGGGCGAATTGACCAGCAGAGGGGGCGAGAGTGACCACTATTGAGGGTTCAAATTGAACCAGGATCCGGCAGCGAAACTGACCAGGAGATTGGAGGGGTGGGAATTGTTGCAGAGGTCACCCGCAGCGAGATGGACGCCGCTGAAGAGGGAGGGAGGCAATGGAAGGGACAGGGATCTGGCTTCCCCTCCCCCAAGAGGGTCTTCTCGGTACCCCGCTCCCTAGGGGGACAAATTGCAGGATGGGGGAAGAGGGTTGAGGCAGCTGGCCAGGGGAAGGGAGATGGTATCTGTGCCTGGCGAGTGTCCTCAGCATCTGTCCCTTTGTGGCTTCTGGGGGTGGAGGCAGGGAGGGGGACAGAAAGGAGAGGGGTCGCCTGGCCTGGCTGCCTGTTGGCAGCTGCAGCTGTCTGGGGGCGAGGACACTAGAGGTTGGGGGGAGTAAGAGGCACATGGAGCTTCTGACCTCATCAGAGCAAACGCATTTTTTTCTTTCCCCATAAGGGGGCTTGCTCAGTTCCCCTAATATTGGGGTAAGAAGGGGGCGGTCAGGAAGGATGGGACCCCAGATTTCCTTCTCCCAGCCCCCCAGGGTGGGCGGGTGCCTATAGCTTGGAGGGGAGGGAGGACCAAACCTAAGTCAGAACCAACAGTGCTGTGAGCGGCCCCCAGGGAAGAACAGTGGGGCTGGGGCCATGTCCACGCTGTCTGCACTTTGCTTTCCTGGCTTGAAAAATGGGGCTTCTAATAGTAAACCCCAAGGAGCTAGAGGAAGGATTGCCAGAGAAAGTTGAGTTATTTTTCCCTGATGGGGAAACTAGGCACAGAGAGGGGGAAGGACTTGCTCAGAGCCACTCCACAGCTCATTTCTCCCTGGATGCCATGATGTGGCCTGGCTTGGGGTGGCATTAGAGACCCACCAGAGTCTCAATGGAATCAATGGTTCTCCCACTGCTGGCTCCATTTTCCAGATGGGAAAACTGAGGTCCACAGCTGACAAGGCAAAGCATCTAACAGCAGCAGGGGCTTGCTTCCCTGTGTCCTCTTTCCTGCTTTGGCTGTGTCGCCCAACAAACCTGTTGAACTCAGTCCTCCTTCAGAAGCACATTCATTCAGCCTCCCAACCCCCAACCTGCCCACTCTGACCAGAGACTAGGCAGCATCCCTGGGGACTGTCCCTGAGCACAGCAGGTAATAGCCCTGTGTTCTGTCAGCCGCCAGGTAATTCTGGGCTCTGCTCAGGCTCTGGGACGAGCTGATGACAGATCTCATCACATCCAAGTCCTCACCCAGTCTGATAAATACCCGGCGTCTGAGGTATAAATATTTGAAAGGGGCCTTCTAATTACAGTTTGTGTCAGGAATAGCAATGAGAGGCCCCGGAGGCGGAATCAAACGGCCGTTTGACTTTCCTGGGCTTTTGAGCTGGCTTCTCCTGGGGCTACCCCTCCACCCAAGGCAAGGAGCAGGGAGGGGGTGTGGGGAAGAGCTGCAGGAGGTGGACTGGAAAACAGCCAGGTTGAGGGTCCTGCGACCTTGAGATGTGACCTGTAGAGCCACATAACCTCTTAGGTTTTGGCTTTCTGATTGGAGAGGAAGGAACCTTGGAGCAATGCCCCCAGGGGGGCTACTGGGTGGACAAAGGGAAGGAGGTGGGTGGCTGAGGCAGGCGACCTCTCTTCCCTCAAGGAGTTAAAGAGGGGGGCCCTCCCTGGTGGGGCTTAGCCCGCCTGACCTTGGGTAGTGATCTGAACTGTTCTCCCATCTTCGAAATGGGAGCTTAACAGCTAACCTCTGTTGAGCACTTATTTCCTGGCATTGTTTGGGGCACATTTAAAAATATATATATATTTCTTTTTTTTCAAAGAAGAGTTTATTGATTTTTAGAGAGAGAGGAAGAGAAACATCAATGTGAGAGTGCCACATCCATCTGATGCCTCCTACCCTCCCCGCACAAGGGATCGAGCTCATAACCTGGGTGCCCTGACTGGCAACCCTTTGGTGCACGGGACAACACCTAACCACTGGGCCACACCAGCCAGGGCGAGGGGGCACTTTTTTTAAATATATAATTCACATACCCTACAATTTACCCACTTAAAGTGTACATTTCAGTGGGTTTTAGTATGTCCAGAAGATTGTGTAACCTTCACCATTATCTAATTCTTGAACATTTTATTACCAAATTAGCAGTAACTTTTTATTCTCCCCAAATCTCTAGTCCATGGTAACCATGAATCTACTTCCTGTCACTGTGGATTTGCCTGTTCTGGACACTTCACATAAATGGAATTACATACTGTGTGGCCTTTTGCATCTGGCCTTTCTCACTGAGCATCATGTTCTCAAGGTTCATCCACGTTGTAGTCAGTGACAGTGCTTCACTCCTTTTCAGGGCTGAGTCATATTCCAGTGTATGGAGCAAAGAGGCGCTCAATATATGTTTAGGGTGGATGGGACCTCAGGAAGGAGCTGGATGGGGACCCTGGCTGGGGGCTGTGCCTTCCCTTCTGTCCCCCCGACACCCCTGCTGACCATCAAGTCTGGAGTGGGGATGGGAGCCAAAGTACCAGGACAGAGGGGACCAGGAAGGGATGGCTCACTGCTGATCTGATGGAGGAGGCATGACCCTGCCTTAGGAGCTCCTAGTCTGACAGGAGAGACAATCTCTGCCCCCAGCAGCTCCTTGACACAGTCATACCTTAATGCAGTCTGATGAGAGAGACATGATCAATGTGTGCATGTCTTAGGCTCTCAGGGGAGGCATGACCCTACCCTCTGAGGCACCCAGTGTGATGAGAGAGACATGGCCCTACCGCTGAGGAAGGAGACATAAACCTATCATGCCCTTTGAAGTACCTGGTCTGATGGAAGAAATACACACTTCCTTTCAAGGGTTACCAGTCTAATGGAGGAAACGTGGTCGTGGCTCAGGACCCCAGCCTGATGGAGGAGGCATGAGCCTGCCTTCAGGGGTCCCAGAGTGAAGGGAGAGGCATAGCCCTGATTGGGGAAGCCCAGCCCAGTCCCTGGAGGCTCCCAGTCAACAGGGTATGGTGATCAAAGGTGTATATAGGCTTGGAGCCTTGCAGTTTTATTTTTATTTTCCTAGTATTATTGTTATTTTTAGTCCTCAACCGAGGACATTTTTTTTAAAAATATTTTTTTCTTTATTGACTTTAGAGAGAGAGGAAGGGAGAGGGATAGAGAGATAAAAACATCAATGAGAGAGAACATCGATTGGCCGCCTCCTGCATGTCCCCCACTGGGGATTTGGCCCACAACCTGGGCAAGTGCCCTGATTGGGAATCGAACCCACGACCTCTGGGTGCATGTCAACCACTGAGCCACACCGGCTGGATACCGAGGACATTTTTCCCACTGATTTTTAGAGAGAAACATCAATACGAGAGACACATCAAGTAGTTGCCTCCTGCATGCACCCCAACCGGGGTTGGGGGTTGAACTCACTACTGGTACGTGCCCTTGACCTGGAATTGAATCTGTGATCCTTTGATGTGCAGGCCGCGACTCTAACCACTGGCCCACACTGACCAGGATTTATTTTTATATTTTTGTTTTAGAAAGAGGTAGAGAGAAAAACACCGATGTGCCCTGGCCAGTTTGGCTCAGTGGTTAGAGAGTTGGCCTGAGGTCCAGAGAGACCCGGGTTCGGTTCCTGTTAAGGACATGTGCCTTGGATGCAGTTTGTTCCCGGCCCTGGTTGGGTTGTGTGGGTGGCAGCCACTCGATGTGTCCCTTTTACGTCGATGTTTCTCTCTCTCTCTCTCTCTCCTTCCCACTCTATCTGAACAAAAAATGGAAAAATGTCCTCAGGTGGGGATAAAAAGAAAAAAAAAGAAAAACACCAATGTGGGAAAGATCAGCTTCCTCCCACACACGTGTGGACCAGGGACTGAACCCATAACCTGGGTATGTGTCCTGCCAGCTTTTGGTGTACAGGACGACGCTCCAACCAACTGAGCCACAGCAGCCAGGGCAGAGCCTTGCAGTTTTTTTTTATCCTCACCCGAGGACATTTTTCCATTTTTTGTTCAGGTAGAGTGGGAGGGAGAGAGAGGAACAGAGAGAGAGAGAGAAACATCTATGTGAAAGGGACACATCAAGTGGCTGCCACCCGCACGACCGACCAGGGCCGGGGACAAACTGCAACCAAGGTACATGCCCTTAGCGGGAACCGAACCCGGGTCTCTCAGGACCGCAGGCCAACGCTCTAACCGCTGAGCCAAACCGGCCAGGGCAAGCCTTGCAGTTTTAAACCCAGGTCCTGCCCTGGCCAGTTTGACTCAGCAGTTAGAGCATCACCCCGCGGACCAATGAGTTGCGGGTTCAATTCCGGTCAAGGGCACGTACCTTGGTTGCAGTTCGTCCGGGCCCTGGTGGGGTCATGAGGTTGGTAACCGGTTGGTAGATGTGGCTCTATCATATGGATGTCTCTCTCTCTCTCTCTCTCTCTCTCTCTCTCTCTCTCTCTCTCTCTCCCTCCCTTCCTCCCACTCTGTCTTATAATAAGTAGAAAAATATCTTTGAGTGAGGAATAATAAATAAATAAATAAATAAATAAACAAACAAACAAACCCAGGTCCTGCCCTTCACTAGCTGAACCCTCGGCGCCTCCCTCCACGGGCAGCCCTGGGCATGTGCCCAAGGGGTAGGCAGGAGCTGTGGTGTGGAGGGGGTGTGGTGCAGGGCCTGGCCTGCCTGAGAGCCGCCCCTCCTCCCCTTTGTGAAGCCCAGGCTCAGGCAGCAGGGCTCCAGCAGGAGGGGCAGCACCGCCACCCCAGTCCCTCCACCCCAGTCCCTCCGATGTGCTCCAGCAGCCAGGCAGGTCCCAGGGAAGTTGATGGAGATTCTGGATGAGGCCTGACAGCTCCCAAGAACCAGATGACAGACACGGGCTCATGGGAAAAGGGGACTGTCAGCAGTGATGGGGGAAGGGTAGTCTCCAGATAATAAGTGGGGGGTGGGTGGCTTCAGGGGAGAAGAAGGAAGGGCAGGGGGTGGAGGAGCAGACAGAGGCCCAGGAGAATCTGCACATACAACAGACCCCAAATGTATTGCTGTCCCTCTGCTCCCTCGGCCCTGGGAACCACCACAAGGGTTTTGGGGTCCAAGAGCAAAACTGCTTCCAGATCATGGGGTGGGAGAAAGAAGTGTAGGAGCCCGGGCAGTGCTGCCCAGTGGTTGAGCATCGACCCAGGCACCAAGAGGTCGCCAGTTCGATTCCTGGTCAGGGCACGTGCCCAGGTTGTGGGCCTGATCCCCCATGGGAGGCATGCAGGAGGCGGCCAGTCAATATTCTCTCTCATTGATGTTTCTATCTCTCTCCTTCTCCCTTCTTCTCTCTAAAATCAATAAAGAAAACAAAAAGCCTGAAGGGAAAAGAAGAATTAACGAAACACTACCAGTGGCAGGTGGAGGACTAGGAAGTGGTGACAGAACGCAGGCAGAACCAAGGGCCTCCCTGGGCCTCGTTCCCTCATCTGTGAATGGGGAGACGCCCGCTCAGTCAAGCCACAAACATTTATTGAACACCCACTAAGTGCCTGGATGGTCTTAGCTGCTGGGGACATAGTCATCAACATGACACCTACCCTTGAAAATCTAGCCCCCCAAAACCCCAGCCTCCTGGTGGTCACACCATGTGCAATCCCCTCCCCTTGCATGTGGCTGGGACCTGAGGCCTGCGTCTAATCAGTGGAACGTGGCAAAATTGATGTCACTCCCAGGAGACTGAGCTCTTCTGCTGGTCTTTAAAAGCCAGCAGACAGAGGTCTGTAGGCAAGGAGTTGGGGCAACCCCATGAGTAAGCTTGGAAGCAGACCTGTCCCAATCAGGCCTTCAGAGGAGACCCCAGCCCTGGCTGACATCTCAATTACTGCTGTGAGACCCTGGAGCAGAGAACCCAGCCAAACCATGTAACTCCGGTGGTTTTAGCTACTAACTTGGGATCATGTTATGCAGCACTAGGTAACTCGGAGACACGGGCACACACCTCAAGGCACCCACCCTCTCAGAGCTCTCACCCTGCTTTATTTCCTTCATCATCGGCAGCACCTCCAGTGTCTGTTTATTTTGTTTTTATTTCATTATACATAGATATGTTTACTCTATCATCCCCCATCTTCCTATAAGAATGTCACCCTGCCTTGGCCGGTTTGGCTCAGCGGTTAGAGTGTCAGCCTGGGGTCCAGAGAGACCCAGGTTTGGTTCCCGCTAGGGGCGTGTGCCTCAGTTGCAGTTTGTCCCTGGCCCTGGTTGGTCGTGCAGGTGGCAGCCACTCGATGTGTCCCTTTCATGTCAATGTTTCTCTCTCTCTCTTCCTCTCTCTCCCTCCCATTCCGTCTGAAGATAATGGAAAAATGTCCTCAGGTGAGGATAAAAAAAAGAATGTCACCTTTATGAGCGGAGACTGTTTTTCTTTACCTGCTGTAGCCCCAGTGCCTAAAACAGAGCTGGGCACAGTAAGTGCTCAATAAATGTTTTTTTTTAAGGAGCAAATGGATTACTACACTTGCACTGGGAAACTAAACAAGTGAGTTTGTATACAGAGCTTAGCACAATGTGGCCAGTACTAAGTGCTGCACAAATGTTGGCTGATGCTATTACTTGATCATTGGACTCTAGGTACTCCATCCACATGTCACTTGAGGAGAGGAAAACTGGCCCCTTCCCTAGAGGTGACCACAACCAAGACAGCTGCAGGGACAGTGTGAGCTTAAAAATTTGGAAGGGGAATTTCTTGGCCACCTTTCCCTGAGGCTGTGGAGCTGAGCTAGGTGACCCACACAGGGACTGGCAAGCTTTCTTCATAACCATGTTGGCTTTGCATGCCATGAGGTAACTACTCAACTCTGCCACTGGAGAGAAGTAGCCATGCATGATATGCATGCAAATGTGCAAGCCAGTGTGCCAATAAAACTTTATTTACAAAAACAGGTCATGGGCCAGGTTTTGCATGGACTGTAGTTTACTAAGCCAAGTTTTACAGTGGAGTTAGGTTAATACTTAATAATAGTTAGTGAATAATAGTAACAGACGGTGCATATGCATGGCAAAAATTACGGTGGATCAAAAATGACAGAAGTACAAGAAATAGTCTGAAAGAATAAATCAAAATGCACCCGAGAGGCTTCACCTTCCCTATTCCTTCTCTTTTCACAACTCCTTAAACTAGATGACTTTTTATTTATTTTATTATTATTTTTTTTAATCCTCACCTGAGGACATTTTTCCATATTTGTTCAGATAGAGTGAGAGGGAGAGAGATGGAGAGAGAGACAGAGAGAGAGAAACATCGATGTGAAAGGGATACATCGAGTGGCTGCCTCCCTCATGACCCCAACCAGGGCTGGGGATGGATTACAACTGAGGTACGTGCCCTTGACTGGAATCAAACCCGAGACTCATTGGTCCGCAGGCTGACGCTCTAAACCCTGAGCCAAACTGGCCAGGTATAAAAAAGATATTTCTTTATTGACTTTAGAGAGAGAGGAAGGAGGGAGTAGAGAGAAAGAACCATCGATTTGTTGTTCCGCTTATTTATGCATTCATTGGTTGCTTCTTGTATGTGCCCTGACCAGAGAGCAAACCCACAACCAGGATATATCTAACCAACTGAGCAACCTGGCCAGGGCTTGGATGACTCGCTTTAACTGGGAGTCTCTGACTGCACTGCAGCCCAGGCATGTTCACAATGCTAAGCTGGGGAAGACAGATGCGGTCCACTGATCGATTCTTCACAACAGGATCTCTGGCTTGGGGCACTGACTTGTATCATTCACGGATTTCCAAGGTGGAAATACTCCTGTCGTGGCCAAAAATTTTTTTTTTTTTTTTTGAGAGAGAGAGAGAAACATCAATGTGCAAGAGATACATCTACTGGTTGTCTCCTGCATGACCCGAATCAGGGCCGGGGACATACCGCGACTGAGGTACATGCCCATGACCAGAATCGAACCCGTGACTCTCTGGTCCACAGGCCAATACTCTAACCACTGAGCAAAAACAGCCAGGGCATCGTGGCCAATTTCAAGCCACAAATATGATGTGCTGAATGCAGGATTGAGAGTCCGTGTGCCATGTGTCAGTTCTGAGCAGCTGCCACTACAAGCTGGCTTCAGTCCACAGCTGTCAGGGCTTCAAAGCCAGGACCCCCGGGTCCTGTCTTCACAGCCATGGAGCAGTGATATGAGGCCCCCCAAGTCATCAGAAGCCCTGGCTGGATCCCAGGTCGCCTCTTTGTTTGTCATATCTAAGTAGGAAAATTGTCATAGGAAAGTGGACCCTCAAACTCTGACAGTCAAAAACACAAAACGTCATTATCAAGTGCCAAATAAAAGCTGTGTGTGTGTGTGTGTGAGAGAGAGAGAGAGAGAGAGAGAGAGAGAGAGAGAGAGCGCGAGCGCACACACGAGCGAGCAGGGCTGACGTCAGATGCACCGGGAAAGGGCGGGAGAGAAGACAAGGCTGTGAAGGAGTCTGCTGGTGGCACAGGACCTTCAACTAGAAAGTGCTGGGATGGGAGAGAATTACATGAATGGAAACCTGGCAATCTTGAAAAGAATGTGAGCTTGGGAACAGACTTACCGATTACATGACCATGTTAGCTATCGACTGCTGTATAACAAATATCCCCACACTTCACATACTAAACAACACATTTATTGTGTGGTTTCTGAGGCAGGAGTCGAGGACTGGCTGAGTTGCATGGTTCCGTGCCTCTCCTCAGACCCTGGCAGAGAGAAGGCGCCCAGGCCAGATGGGTGGGTTCCTTTTACTGGTCCCAGATGGTTTTGTGGTGAGAAGGGAAAGAGCCAACCAGGAGTGGGTAGGCTTACCCACATGCCCCAAAACATGGCTGATGTCTCAAGGACTGTCCAAGAGAGGACTGTGAAGGCCAGCTGGAAGCTGCTCCAAAGATGTCGCACCTCTGAACTCCGTGCCAGGAGGGTGGCAGTGTGAGCTGGGGATTTCGAGGTCAGAAGGGATGGTGGGTGGGGGAACAGGAGAGAGAGTCCCTCAGCTGAAGCCCTCACTGCCCCCGCTGGCCTCAGAGGATGTTCGTGTTTGTCTGGTGTGACTCTGGTTGGTGCCAAAGCCTCCTGCCTGGATCTCTAGCTAGAGCTGGATGTGAAACCCTTGACCTGGTGAAGGGCCTGGGTGGGGCGCAGTCACGGTCCTCTATGTTGGAATACAACACACTTAACTGGCTTAGAGAGAAGGTGACAGGTGTCCAGGGTGCAGGGTCAGCCACCTTCCTGTTCTTCATGGTGCGCGGGGAGAGGCAAGCGGTCGCCCACCATGCTTTGTCCCTGAAGCCCACCTCTGGACAGTTCCAGAAGGGCTGAGCCAGGGATGAGGCCGGGAGAGTGGGGTTGGTCATTTCTGCTGGTTCCCTTCTGGCAAACTACTGGCAGGGCACATTACAATGGAACTCACATGCTCCCTGACCCAGCAACTCCACTTCTGAAAACTGACTGATGGAAACCCCCACCCAGGCAGGCAAGGCACCTGTGCCAGGCTCCAAGTCTGAACTCAAAGCCAGCCCTGGCCGGTTTGGCTCAGCGGTTAGAGCGTCGGCCTGCGGTCCGGAGAGAACGGGGTTCAGTTCCCGCTAAGGGCATGTACCTCGGTTGCAGTTTGTCCCCAGCCCTGGTTGGTCATGTGGGTGGCGGCCACTCAATGTGTCCCTTTCACGTCAATGTTTCTCTCTATCTTCTTCTCACTCTACCTGAACAAAAAAAATGAAAAAATGTCCTCAGGTGAGGATAAAAAAATAAAAAAATAAACTCAAAGCCACATAACACAATGCTTAAGAAGGGCAAACCCACCCTGGACGGTTTTGCTCAGTGGTTAGAACGTTGGCCTGCAGTCCAGAGAGACCCGGATTCGGTTCCCGCTAAGGGCACGTACCCCGGTTGCAGTTTGTCCCGGCCCTGGTTGGGTTGTGTGGGTGGCAACCACTCGATGTGTCCCTTTCACGTCGATGTTTCTCTCTCTCTCTCTCCCTCCTACTCTATCTGAACAAAATATCAAGTAATGTCCTCAGGTGAGGATTAAAAAAAAACAAAAACGAGGGGGGCAGACCCTGGGCTCACCTTGCACCCATGGCTGTTTGGCTATGGGCAAGTGACTTCTTCCTGGGCCTCCATCTCCTCATCTAAGTGGAATGACAAATGTACTGATGACAGTGGCTCATATGTATGACGAGCTCCCCACCCCTGGGCCCTACCTGGAGCTGCCATCAGATCTGTTTCCTTTACTGAAACCCAGCCCCACCACTGCCAAGGTGCCCATGCTCTGCTCCCAGCTCCCTGCCCTCCTCTTGGCTTTGGGGCCTGTGAGTGCTGGAGGGCCAGGAGTGGGTGCTCTTTTGCAGATCCTGTCCGTTCAGTTGCCTCCCTGCTCCTAGACCCCCTGCTAAACCACAACCTTTACCACCCCCAAACTCCCTGCTGTGCTGATCAAGTGTCTCCCCTGCTCTAAAATCTTCTGTGGCTCCCTGTTGCCCTTGGTAATCAAGGTTTCTGCCCATTTTCCATCCCACACACCCTCTGCTTACACTTGCTCAGTCACCATGGCTTTTCATCTTCATACCTTCGTACTTCATTCCTCCTGGAATGCCCCCACTGGCCTCTAGTTCAGTGAGTTCATCCTTCAATACCCAACTCAGGTATCTCCTCCCCAGGAAGCCTTTCCTCACAGCTCAAGCTCCAGTCAGTGCTGCATATCCATGCACACAGGGGCCTCTACTGCCTTACTAACTGCCTCCCCAGTTGTGCTGTAGGTTCCTGTCTTATTCACTGCTGAGTGTGCAGTGCTTCAAACAGTTCTTGACACACAGTAAGTGTTCAATCAAGGTGTTTAAGAGAATGAGCAAAATGGAGGCACCACTCTGGGGACTAGTTAGAGAAAGAAGCAGAAGGGGCTCAGGACAGAGAAGAGCAGTAGACCAATTTTCTAGTGTTAATCCTGCCATAATGTTTCAATTCCATTTTTTACCGCATGTATATTTATGTATAAATATATATGTAATCCTAGTTATTTTATTTTTCTGTTATTGATTTTAAAGAGAGAGGAAGGGAGAGGGAGAGATAGAAACATCAATGAGAGAGAACATCAACTGGCTGCTTCCTGCATGCCCCGCACTGGGGATTTGGCCCACAACCTGGGCATGTGCCCTGACCGGGAATCGAACTGGCGACCTCTTGGTGCATGGGTCAGTGCTCAACTACTGAGCCACACCAGCCAAACTATAATCCTAGTTATTTATTCACCTGAAATTCTTCACCAGAAAGGCCAATTTATAATATTTTGCCAAAGTTCATCTGGTCTTTAAAATCTAAATATACACATAACTTTACAATTCAATAAAAAAAAATCACTTTCTGCTAACAACCCAAATGCCCATCAGTGGACGAGGTCCATCCACACACTGGAATACTATTCGGCCATGAAGAAGAGAGAAGCTCTGACACAGACTACAGTGTGGATGGACCTTGAAAACATATCACTCGTGACAGAAGCAGATATGAAAGGCCAAATGGGTGTGATTCCATTTATGTGAAATGTCCAGAAAATCCACAGAGACAGAGAGTAGATTACTAATTGCCGAGGGTAGGGGGAGGTGGAGGGGGAGTGACTGCTAATGCAGATAGGACTTATGTTTAGGGTGATGAAATGTCCTGGAATTAGAGGTGGTAGTTTAATACACTGCAAATACACTAAGAAACACTAATTGTATACTTTAAAAGGGTGAACTGTATGGTATGCAGAATGTATCTCAATAAAGCTGTTGTTAAAACAGTAAATAACTAAAAGACATACTTTTTGTTATTGTTGTTAACCCTCAACCCAGGATATATATATATATTTTAGGTAGAGTAGGAGGGAGGAAGGGGGAGAGAGAGAGAAACATTGATGTAAGAGAGACACATTGATTCGCTGCCTCCTACATGACTCAGATCGGGGCTAGGGATCAAATTTGCAACCCAGGTATATGCCCTTGACCAGGAATGAAACCTGCAGTCCTTTGGTCCACAGGCTGATGCTCTAACTGCTGAGTCAAAGCATCCTGGGCTACCTTTTTTTTTCAATCCTCACCAGAGGATATTTTATATTTATCTTCAGATAGAATGGGAGGAAGAGAGAGAGAGAGAGAGAGAAACAAACATCGATGTGAAAGAGACACATCGATTGGTTGCCACCCGCATGACCCCAACCAAGGCCGGGGACTATCCGTAACCAAGGTACATGCCCTTGGCCAGAATTGAACCCGGGACTCTTTGGTCCACAAGCCAATGCTCTAACTGCTGAGCCAAACCAGCCAGGGCCCAAATCTGATTTTTTTTAATCCTCACCCGAGGACATTTTTTGATATTTTGTTCAGATAGAGTGGGAGGGAGAAAGAGAGAGAGAGAAACATCGACGTGAAAGGGACACATCGAGTAGCCGCCACCCACAAGACCCAACCAGGGCCAGGAACAAACTGCAACCGAGGTACGTGCCCCCAGCGGGAACCAAACCTGGGTCTCTCCGGACCGCAGGCCGATGCTCCAACCGCTAAGCCAAACTGGCTAGGGCCCAAATCTGATTTTTCAACCCAAGAAAAAAAAAAACTTGGCAAAAATATGCTCAAATAGTATAGAAGTATGTGAAGAAAAAAATTGTAAGCTCTCCTTGTCCTTTTCCCAAATCCTAATACCACCCTTGGGGTGACAATTAAAGTAAAAATGTGACTGTTGTTGGCTATATATGATTCCACTGTACAGTAGCTTGTTCACTGAGTACCCTATTATCATACATCTGGGTTGTTTCTAGTTTTTTACCTTTATAAATAATGCTGCTATAGACACATCCCCCAAACCTTTTTTTCGGGGGGAAGGAGAAATGGGGGCTCCTGGACCTCATGAGGGAAGGTTCCACCAGGAGGGAAGCCCCAGGGAACAAGGCAGAGTTCCTGCCACCTGCCTCACCTTAGCCCCTCCTGCTCAGCCCTGTGCTTCCCAACCCAGCGTGCGAGCCTCCTGGCCGTTCCTATAAACACCCCAGCCTGGCCCCACCTCTGGGCCTTTGTTCTTGTGGTTCCCACAGCCCATGACACCCTTCATCCTCGGACCCCAGCTCCACTGGCATTTCCTCTGACACTTCCTGGACCCCAGCTAAGCACTCTCTCTTTCCTGGCCCTGTCCAGTCACTCTCTCGTGATTGATTTATGTGTCCCACATACACCTGCTGTTGTTTATTATCTCCACTCCCCATCAGACTGTGGGGTGCATGGGGTCAGGGATTTTGTCAGTCTTGATCCTCACAGCACCCTTGGCAACCAGCCTTGGCCTCGGCACCCAGCAAATGCCTAATAAATGAATGCTGAATGAAAAGTTAAAAGAATGAAGAAAGGAGACAGAAAATAAACAGATCAACAATATGTAAACACACTGAATTTCACTGAACCAAGGCATCTTTATCAGGTGTACCTGATTTCAAGTTATGCTAAAATGTGAAAGACGATGAGGCTTGGAACTAGTAAGATATGGTAATTCAAAACTAGTGTGAAGGACAAGATAAGGGAACCGTGAGGGGGAATAATGGATGGGTTAGATGGGGGATCAAGAGGAGCTCTGTGAGGTGGTGTGATTTAATCCGAGACCTCAAGGGTGAAGAGCCAGCCATGTGAGAACAAAAGGAGAGTGTTCTGGGCAGAGGGAACAGCTTATGCAAAGGTCCTGAAGTAGGAACAACCATGGCTGCTGGAAGAGGTGAATATATGGGTAAGATGGCCACCGCCTGCGTGGCTGCAACTCAGCAAACTCTCTGAGCGCCCTCCAAATCCCGAGTGTCCACACACAGTTCCAGTCCTGTCTGCCCTCCCTCTGCTGGAGCCCAAGCTTCAGACCCAGAAAAGCAGCAAAACCAGGTGGGTGACACCAGAACCAGCTGCAGTGACTAATGATGCCCTGTCCTGGCACTGACCAATCAGTAGAGACCTCGACCCTGAAAATACACACCTGGGAAACTGATGAATATTCTGCTGAAACCCTCCCCTGAGACCCCTTCTAAGATTCCTGCCTGAAGAGAGAGATAAAATCCTCAAGACAAAGGACACAACCTACACTCTCCCCCTGGGGAGCAGCCTGCACCATTCCCATCCCCTTGTTCTTTCCCCATTTACCTCCACAGGCACACATCTTCTAAACTCTAGGGGTCCCCACAAGACTTTCAGCCAGTGGAGCGAGACAGTGGCAGCTCGTCTCTGGCTAAGCCCTTGAATGTGTCTCCAAGGCCTCCTTTCTCTGACTTTCCAGTGAGCTAAGGCAGCCCACCCTAAGCTCTCCTGTTGCTTCTTCTATGCTAAGACCTTCCTTGTTTCACTGTTCCCAGCTTTAATAAACATACCCTCATATTAAGGGAAAAAAAAAAAAAGAGGTGAATGTATGTACAGGGCCCCATCCCCGTGCAGGCACTGGCTGGAGCTCTAACACGGCAGGGAGAGTAATCCTGAATGGTGAGAAAGCAAGGCTTGGAGCAGTCACCTGCCCACTGGGTCAACGTCTGAGCCAGGACGGTGACCTGGTCTGAATGCCGGTGATGAACCACTCTCTGTGGACTCTGGGCATCAGGTCTCTCTGCCACAACTAGGGGGAGAGGGTGGGCACGTGAGGCACTCACCTCACGTTGAATGGAACCTTCAACTGCACCATGTACTGTCTGCCAGTCTTTGGGGAGCCTGAGATTGGGATCTTTTATGGATGAGAGTCAGGTGAGCAGTATTTCTGTGGGGAGGAAGAAAGTGTCAGGGGAGCTGCTTTGTGATGCAGGGTAGGCCCGGGGCAGAGGGAAGGGACTCTGGGAGCTGTGTCAGGGTCCCCAAGACCATCCCTGGGTGCAATGATTTGGTAGGGGGATTCCTGGGGCTCAGCATACAATCACACTCATGGCTACAATCTACTACAGCAAAAAGTTACAGAGAAAAATCAGAAAAGGGAAAAGGCACATGGGGCAGGTCCAAGAAAACCAAGCACAAGTTTCCACAGTCTTCTCCCAATGGAGTCACACAGGACGTGCTCATTCCCCAGCAATGAGTTGTTACAACAGGTGTGAAATGTCTCCTGGAGAAGCTCATGGAGACCCAGCATGCAGAGTTCTCAATGGGGGTTGGTCATGCAGGCACCTCTGCCCAGTACAAACCAAGATTCCAAACTCCAGGAGGAGAGCAGGTGCTCAGCATAAACCACATTGTTTGCACAGTTAAGCCCTGAGAACCATTCTTATCAGGAAACAGTGGAAACCATCCTGAAATTCAAATTCCCAGATGGCAGCCAAAGTCCAACCTTGTAAGCTGGCCTTTCTAAGGACAGCAGCCTCAGACCTGCTGTATTAAAACTTTCTGCAGCCCTGGCCTGTTTGGCTCAGCGGTTAGAGCATCGGCCCGTGGACCAGAGAGTCCAGGGTTCAGTTCCCACTAAGGGCACGTACCTCGTTTACAGTTCGTCCCTGGCCCCAGCTGGGGTCGTGTGGGTGGCAACCACTAAATGTGTCTCTCTTACATCAATGTTTCTCTCTCTCATCCTCCCTCTCTCCCTCCTGCTCTATCTGAAGATAAATGCAAAAATGTCCTCAGGTGAGGATAAAAAACAAAACAAAAAAACTTTCTGCACAGGATCCTGAAATGGGAGACATAGGGAAGGAGGGTTTGGATTATAAAAAAAACTCCACCAGATAATCAGAAAATAGAGCACTTTGTGTTCTGTGCACTAGGCACCACGTGGAACATTTTCTCCTGCTTTCTTGTTTTTTGTTGTTTTAATCCTCACCAGAGAGTATGTTTACATTTATCATCAGATAGAGTGGGAGGGAGGGAGAGAAACATTGATGGGAGAGAGACACATCAATTGGCTGCCTCTCAATTGATGACCAACCAGGGCCAGGACGAACTACAACTGAGGTACCAGCCCCTTGACTGGAATCAAACCGGTGAGCCATTGGTCTGCAGGCGGACACTCTAACCACTGAGCCAAATTGGCCAGGGCTCTACTGCTTTCAAAGTCTCTATGAGACAGAGAGTGATACACCCATTTCACAGAGGAGGAAACTGAGCCCTGGTGATTTCAGCCACTCAGAGTTACAGAGCATGAATAGCAGAGCTAGGGTTCAGACCTGGAGACTCCACTCTGGTGGAAACAGTGTGGCACAGTGATTAGGAGCATAGATTTCAGAGCCAGGAGCCTGGGGTTGACTCTTCCACTCCCTAGCTTTTCCTAGCTCTTCCACTCGCCCACTTTGAAGGATTTGATCAGCATGGCACCTGGCGCAGTGCCTGGCACACAGAAGTATCTACCAGTAAATTATGGAAATAGATGGTTTCCAGTTGAATGTTCAGGTTGGAAGGACTTTCATGGACCCGGAGTCCTGCACACTGCACTGGAATGGGAAAAGGCTGGGGCTGCATTCCTAACATAGGTGTTTAAAAGATGAAGGCACTGTCACAAGAAAGAACATCATCTCCACCTCAAACCCTGGGCTCCCGGCTGCTGACTGACATCTCGGACTTACGCACTCCCAGGCCTGGGAGTTCATTCCCTTTCTGGAAGTACACTCTCCTGTGGGGTGATGACAGGTACTCAGAATTCCAGAGCTCTCTCTTCCAAACGCCAAACCCTGCCTTCCACGACCCTCTCCACCCGAGTACTGCTTTTCCCCAACAGAGTTGGGAAGAGAAGTTGATCGGCCCCTGCGGGCAGAAAAGACTATTTACCAAGGGCTAACCCCTGCAAGAACGCGATTGGCTACAGACCCAGGAGGGGCGCGGCTTAGCAGAGCCCGGTCCCCGAAGTGAACTGTGCAGAAGGAACAATATTTTAAAAGAAGCCCCGCCCCAAGGAAAGTGATTGGCCAATTCCCTTCGGGAAACCCTATCAAGGGAAGTGATTGGGTAAATATCCCAAACTCCGCTCCCCCCCATCTGTGATTGGGTACTACCCACCCGGGAAGGTTTAGCGAAGGCCTACCTCTCGCGGAAGGTGATTGGGAGGCCTTTAGACTAGAAAGAAAGGAGCAACTTGGCCAGAGCCCCGAAATCTGCCACCCTGGGTATAAAGCCCTAGACATCCAACACTTACTTTTAAAACTTTTCTCTCCCATAACTTAGCCTCCTACTCTTCTCACATGTACAAGAAAACGGGTTAGGGTCGATGTTGGCTGAACTTCCCCGGTCGTCCCTTGTACTTCCGGTTCTGTCACTTCCTGCAGCGTCCAGTATTGGCTGCGGCATACACAGCTTGCTTTTGTTATTGGGTCCGATTCTCATCTGTTAAAATCTTAATACAGTTGTCTTCCTACCCGAGTTGCAACTGTGGTAGTTCGCAACAAAGGTTCCGGGGCCTTCTGGATTTGGAAAAGTTCCAAGGAGGTGCTGTGCCCCTAGAGGTCAGCAGCGGCTAGTTAAAATTTCTTTGTGACATCATGTGGTTGCTTGTCGTGATACTCCCTGTTGTTCATTCTTTTTTTTTTTTTCTTTATTGATTTTAGAGAGAGAGAAAGGGAGAGGGAGAGAGAGAAAAACATCGACGAGCAAGAACATCAATTGGCTGCCTCCTGCATGCCTCCCACTGGGGATTTGGCCCACAACCTGGGCATGTACCCTGACCAGGAATCGAACCGGTGACCTCTTGGTGCATGGGTCAATGTCCAACCACTGAGCCACACTGGCCGGACCCTGTTGTTCTTTTATTCAGAAAATAAAATGCTTAGTGTTGGGCGCTTACCCTGTGTGCTGGCCTCTAGGAACGCACAAATCATTCCTGTGTTCTTAGGGCTCACGTGGGGACCAGGGGCAGTTTCCACAGGCTACAGAGGTCTGGGGCAAAAGAGCAAAAGAGTACCCTGGACAGCCCACACTAAGTTTATCTGATTGAAGACCAGGCTGCAAATCCTCTTTCCCTCTACACACACACTAGTTTCCAAATGTTCCCCCATGCCCGGCTACATTGTCCTTTTATTTATTAAAAAAAAATTTTTTTTCTTTATTGATTTTTAGAGAGAGAGGAAAGAAGTAGGAGAGAGAGATAGAAACATCGATGAGAGAGAACATTGACTGGCCGCCTCCTGCATGTCCCCCACTGGGGATTTAACCCACAACCTGGGAATGTGCCCTGATGGGGAGTTGAACCGGTGACCTCTTGATGCATGGGTCAATGCTCAACTACTGAGCCACACCAGCCAGTCTGCATTGTCCTTTTTTTTTTTTTTTTTTATCCTTATTCGAGGACATTTTTCCATTTTTGTTCAGATAAAGTGGGACGGAGAGAGAGAGAGAGAGAGAGAGAGAGAGAGAGAAACTGCCTCCTGCATGACCCCAGATATGTGCTCAGTCACTGAGGATGTATCAGAGAACAAAACAGGAGATTCCTGCCCTAACAGGAATCACTGTCTGTCTGGTGGGGCAGATGAACAATAATCACACAAAAAGAACCCTTTCAGGCTTCATAAATGGTCTGACGACAAAACAGGCAACTATGGAAAGTGAAATGGTGTATGAGTTTCCTATGGCTGCTGTAACACATCACCACAAGCAACCAGGCCTCCTTGATGCTTATTAACTTAATGAAATCATTAAACTTTAAATGAAAGAGTCTTCTCACAATTCATAATTTAATCATACCTGCAAAGTCCCTTTTGTCATGTAAGGTACCATATTCACAGGTTCTGGGAGTCAGGATGTGGATATCTTTGGGGGGGTATTATTCTGCCCACCATGGATGAGGTGGTCAGGGAAGGCTTCTTGGAGGAGGTGAACTTTGAGATAAAACCTAAATGACGTTCATAAACAAACCCATGGATTGAGAAAATCCTTCCGGGCCTGGTTGCTTTGCTCCCTCCTCAGAGAAATCTTAAACTCATGTCCCATTTGTGTCTACCCACATTGGGGCTCACATCTGAGCAACTTTTGAGATGACTGGTGAACCAAACTGTTGAACTGAAGGGATCCCACCATCCCATCCCAGGCAGACACCCCTCCACACCCACCCCACCTCTTCCAGCCCCGATCGCTTCCTTTGGTCGAGCCCTGACCCTATCCACAGAGTGGCGATTCACTGTATGTATGTTCTGCTCTGTTCTGTCTTCTCTAGGTCTGTTGAACAAAGGAAGAGTCCTGATTCTAGTGATAATGGCCCTTGTCTAATTAAACAATAAATAATATGTCACATTCATATTCTATAGTCAAAGCAGGGAGTACATCCCCATTTCACAGATTAGGAACTTAAATGTCAGAGGCAAAGTCGCTTGTCCAAGGTTTCCCAGCAGCTCAGCAGCAGTGAACCCAGGCCAGTCAGTTTCCATCCACCTTTGAGTGGGTAGCAGTCGGGGGAGGGGGATATCAAGGAACCAGCCCTTCCTTGAGGTGCTGGGATGCCCCTGCTATTGGCCCAGAGTCACAGAGGCTGTTGCAGGGAGACTCCAGTCGCTTGACACTCCATAGTCAGTGAGGTCTCGAGCAGCCACCTGGATGCAGTACCTGGCTTGGGGCCTCACAGCCCTGAGGGTGAAGGATGTAGCTTCAATGGGTCCCACCTGAGGGCAGAAAGAGGGTGGGTCAGTGGGAATGGGGCAGCTGGGAAGGGCCACTGTGCACAGACCTGTGTGACAGAGCCTTCAGTCCTTCTGCTCCACCCTAAACTGCACACCCTCCACAGCACTATCCCAGTCTTTGGTCTTTCCTGTTCCTAACCTGTGTGGACTTCCATGCTGGTCCCAGAGCCAACTCATTCGAACTTCGTGGACCACACCAGTTTCCAGAGATATCTCATCCATGAGAGCCCTCACTCCCCAGAACCGCCCCTCCCAATCCCACTCCTCCTCCCGGCCCTAAACTAGAGCCTCTATCATTGGCCTCAGTGCCTCCCTACCCCCCATCCTACTCTATTAACTATGTTTTTCTTTTTTTTTTTTATCCTCACCCAAGGACATTTTTCCATTTTTTGTTCAGGTAGAGTGGGGGGGAGAGAGAGGAACAGAGAGAGAGAGAAACATCGACGTGAAAGGGACACATCGAGTGGCTGCCACCCGCACAACCGACCAGGGCCGGGGACAAACTGCAACCGAGGTACATGCCCTTAGCGGGAACCGAACCCGAGTCTCTCAGGACTGCAGGCCGACGCTCTAACCGCTAAGCCAAACCGGCAAGGGCTGTTTTTCAATTTTTTTTATATCTTATGGTGTTTTGACATCTTAAACATCTTGCTGGCCAGGAACAGAATGCCCTTTCTGAGGTCATCCAATTGTTAGAGATGGTAAAGGGTCAGCCAGGAGCACGCCTTTCATATACAAACCAACCGATCCTGAGTCTATACCCCCATCCACCCTTTTCTCTAATTTCCCTCACAAGCCAGTGAGTATTCCCCCTGCCCTAGATCAGGCCAGGGCCAGATGCCAGGCAACTTGAGGTCACCCATGTAGCCTAGAGCCTGCCAGAATTATTCACACTCGCCAGCCCCAAGCATTCACCCGCTCCTCGTCTTTCCCGTGGAAACCCCAGCAGAGGCTCTGGCCTTGGCTCTTCACTCCCTCCTGCTCCTGCCTCCTGCCCGTGTGGCCCTGCATGGTTTGGGGTGTCCTCTTCTCTCAGGAAATGTAACCAGTTCTTCTTTCAGTGACCTTGACCTCTCCCTGTCCCCACTCAGGTACCTCCATAGATTAAAATCCCATGGGCACAAATGAGACACCCACTCAGCTCCGCCTTTCCTGCTTTTCTCCTGTCCATCTTTTCTTCCCTATCCCCGCTGCTCTACACTCTCCCTCCTTGACCTGGCCTCCACCTCCTTTCAACTCCCACCTCATCCTCAGACTATCCCATCCCAGCCACCACACTCAGCTTCCCAACCCCAGGTCTGACTATCTCCCTTCCTTGCTCTACCTACATTGTCCCATATCATAGGCCAATGTGGCCCTGCACATTTCAAATTTAGATTAATGGTTGCACAACTTTGTGAACATACTCAAAGCCACTGGTTTGAGTACTTTAGCCCGGCCAGTGTGGCTCAGTGGTTGAGCGTTGACCCATGCACCAAGAGGTCGCCGGTTCTATTCCCAGTCAGGGCACATGCCCAGGTTGTGGGCCAGATCGCCAGTCGGGGGCATGCAGGAGGCGGCCAATCCATGTTCTCTCTCATCAATATTTCTCTCTATCTCTCCTTCTTCCTCTCTCTCTCTAAAATCAATAAAGAAAAAAAAAAAAAGCCCTGGCCAGTTTGGCTCAGCAGGAGCGCATTGGCCCGTGGACCAAACTTGATTCCAGTCAAGGGCACGTACCTTGGTTGCAGTTTGTGCCCAACCCTGGTTGGGTCATGTGGGAGGCAACCAGTTGATGTGTCTCTCTTACATTGATGTTTCTCTCTCTCTCTCTCCCACTCTGTCTGAAGATAAAAATGATAAAAAGAATCCTCGGGTGAGGATTAAAAAAAAAAAAAAAGCCGCCCTGGCCAGTTTGGCCCAGCAGTTAGAGAGTTGGCCTGTGGTCCAGAGAGACCTGGGTTTGGTTCCTGCTAAGGGCACATACCTCGGTTGCAGTTTGTCCCAGGCCCTGGTTGGGTTGTGTGGGTGGCAATCACTTGATGTGTCCCTTTCATGTAGATGTTTCCCTCTCTCTGTCTTCCTCTCTCTCCCTCCCACTCTATCTGAACAAAAAATGGAAAAATGTCTTCGGGTGAGGATTTTAAAAAAAAGTTACTGGCTTGAGCACTTAGAAATGGTGAGTTTTATGCCATGTGAATTCTATCTCAATTTAAAAACTGCAAAGATTTAAAAAAATTAATGAACACCAATACAATTTGAAAGCCAGTTCCTGGGTTACTTGCCACATTGGAATGACTCAGCAGCCATCTGTAGCTCACAGCCACCATCCTGAGAAGAGCAGATGTAGAAGATTCCCACCGTCACAGAAAGGTCTATGGGACAAGGTTGTAAAAAGCTAAAGTCTGCAAAGACTTAGCTTCTCAGCCCAGGATCCAAAACTGACCAGGACACCACTGACCTTCCTGGATGCTCCCCGGATCTTGTCTTTATTTTTTAAGACATTAAAACAGCCAGGTCAGTGTGGCTCAGTGATTGCGCATGGACGCATGCACCAAGAGGTTACTGGTTCAACTGCTGGTCAGAGCACGTGCCCAGGTTGCCATCTCGATCACCAGTAGGGGGAGTTCAGGAGGCAGCCAACTGATTGATGTTTCTCTCTCTCTCTCTCTCTCTCTTCCCCCCTTCCACTCTCTCTAAAAAAATATCAATGGAAAAATATCCTTGGGTGAGGGTTAACAAAAAAAACCCCAAAACAAAACAGAAAAACACATATCCTCAGGTGAGGATTAAAATGAATAATAACAACAACAACAATAATAATAATAAAAAGAAGCCTTGTCTGGTGTGGTACAGTTGGTTGGGTATCATTCAATTCCCAGTGGGAGCACATGCCCAGGTTTAAACCTCAATCCCTGGTGTGGGGTGTGCAGGAGGCAGCTGATCAACGTCTCTCTCCTTCTCCCTCGCTTTTTCTCTGATAAATCAATAAAATCTTTTAAAAAATTTTTTTTCCTTTATTGATTTTAGAGAGGAAGGGAGAGGGAGAGAGAGATAGAAACAGTGATGAGAGAGAACATTGATTGGCCCCCTCCTGCATGCCCCCCACTGGGGATCGGGCCCACAACCTGGGCATGTGCCCTGACTGGGAATCGAACCAGCGACCTCTTGGTGCATGAGTTGACACTCAACCACTGAGCCACACTGGCAGGACTCAATAAAATCTTTTTAAAAAAAGAAGTTAAAACAATACTTGTTTTCAATCAAGGGGAAATTCACATGGCATAAAATTAACCATTCTAAAGTGGATAATTCATTATCATTTAATACATTCACAATGTTGTGCAACCAGCACCTCTAATTCTAGAAAATTCCATCACCCCAAAAAGAAACCCTGTCCTCATCAGCAGTCACTCCCCATCCCCCTCCCCAGACCCTGGCAACCACGAATCCACTTTCTGTCTGTGGAGTTACCTGTTCTGGACATTTCACATCAATGGAATCACACACTGTGGCCTTTTGTGCTGGCTTTTCACTGAGCAGCATGGTCTCAGGGTTCATCCACGTTGTAGTGAGTATCAGTGCCTCACTCCTTTTCATGACTGAGTAATACTCCAGTGTGTGGATGGACCATGTTTTGTGTCTCCATTTACCCAATGATAGACATTTGGGCTGTTTCCACTTTTCAGCTGTTGTGAATAGCACTACTATGAACGTTTGTGTATAAGAATTTGTTTTAGTCCCTGTTTTCAATTCTTTTGGGCAGATACCCAGGAGTGAAGTTGCTGGGCTGCCTTTATTTTGCACACTAGCCATAAGCAACCTAAAGCTGCATGGGAGGCCCCAGGACACCTTTTACGTGTTGTGCCCTCTACCTGGGAATCACCCTCCCCAGCTGTCTCTCATCTTCCTCACCTGGCGGAAGCGCGTAGCTCCATGACGCTTGTAGCGAATCCAGTACTTAAGTGAGAAGATCTCTGGGAAGGGCCAGGATCTGGGAGGTTCCCACTGTACCCACAGCTGCTGCCCATGGAGGGGGCTTAAGCGCACACCTTCTGGAGGGTCTGGTTTGACTGATAGACAAACAGGAGACAGGGTCAGCAGAGGGCAGTTTCATTCATTCAAACAACCAACAAATATTAATTGAGGGTCTACTGAGTGTCCAGTGATATTCTGGACACTGGGGACACAGCATTGACCAATACAGACCCAACTCCTATCCTTTTGGAGCTCAATCCACAGGACAGAAGGCAAGAGGCAAGAAGCAAATCTACTGATCATAAAGAGTAGAGAAGAGAGTTCAGGAGTACAAGGAAGGGAGTGATTTGCAGAGTTTTTTAAAAATTAATTAATTAATTTTTATCTTCACCCAAGGACATTTTTGCATTTATCTTCAGATACAGCATGAGGGAGAGAGGGAGGAAGACAGAGAGAGAAACATCGATGTGAGAGAGACACATCAAGTGGCTGCCACCCACATGACCCCAACCGGGGCCGGGGACAAACTGCAACCGAGGTACGTGCCCTTACTGGGAACCGAACCTGGGCCTCTCTGGTCCGCAGGCCGACGCTCTAACTGCTGAGCAACTGGCCAGGACATGCAACGTTTTTTTGAGACATAATTCACATACCACAAAACTCACCCTTTCAAAGTGGTTTTTAGTACATTTGTAATGTTTTGTGACCGCCATCACTATTCATTCAGAACATTTTCATCACCCCAAAAAGAAATCCCACATCCATTAGCAGTCACCCCTTGCTATTCTTGGCAGGGAGGAGGCAGCTCAGGTCATGCAGGGCTCTGTGGGTCTTGGGGAAGACTTGGGCTTTTACTTCAAAGGAAGTAGGAGCTAGAGGGCTGTGGGCAAAAGAGGGACAGGACCAGCCCTGGCTGGTTTGGCTCAGCGGTTAGAGCATTGGCCTGCGGTCTGGAGAGGCCTGGGTTTGGTTCCTGCTAAGGGCATGTACCTTGGTTGCAGTTTGTCCCTGGCCCTGGTTGGGTCATGCGGGTGGCAGCCACTCGATGTGTCTCTTTCACATCAATGTTTCTCTTTCTCTTCCTCTCTCTCCCTCCCGCTCTATCTGAATGGAAAAATGTCCTCCAGTGAGGATAAAAAAAAAAAAGAGGAACAGGACCTGACTAGGGTGCTCACAGGCGCCCTCTGGTGGCTCCTGAGGGACAAGGGTGGGAACCAGAAACCAGGGTGGGAGGACAGTGGTCAAGGTGGGTGATAATGAGGCTGGATCTGGTGGAGGTTCATGATGAGGGGAAAGTGGGCATATTCTTGATTAACTGTGAAGGTGGGGCCCACAGGATCTGTGATAGAGGACAGACAGGACTAGGTGACAGGTAGAAGGTGGGGTGCTTAGAGAGAGGGGTGAAGAGCAGGAACAAGCCAGTGGCCCTCTACACCCCCCCATGGCCCCTACTCACTGATGTGCTCTGGGAAGAAGGGCACGAAGCTGCTGCTGATGCCCCAGGGGTGGACAGCTGTGATGTTCAGCATGTAGGGTACCATGGAGAACATTTGGACGTCTGGGATGGTGCAACTGGTGGCTTCTGGTGTCTGCTGAAGGCAGGGCTGGCTCTCCCCATGGGCGGCCACTCCAAGCCTGGGCATAGGGGTGGGCACTATGAGGGCCTCAGCACTTCCTGTTGGCCGGGCCTGTGCCCTGGACCCCAAGTGAGGACAGCAGGTGAGAAGCCCTGGTTTGGGGTCCTGCTCTTGTCTCTGTGATCCTCGGGGAGGCACTCACTTGACATCACAGAGCCCAAAACGACCCAGGGTTTCGGGTGAAAGCCACAGAAGATGCTCGGGTCCCAGACTCTAAAGGTTTCTGAAATGTCAACATTCCAGCCTTATAATTCAACATTCTGAGGTCTATAGATTCGCAGACTCTGGAATCTGAAACAGTAAGTTTCTGATTCTCTCCACTTGTGAGACACCAAGATTTCAGATGTGAAGAGGCTTGAGCTCAGTGCCATCCGCAGAACTTTCTACAACATTCAAAATGTCCTTTTTCTACATTGTCCAGTGTAGCACTCATTAGCCACCTACGGCTATCAAGAACTTGAAACATGGCAAGCACAACTCAGTGCAATTTTTAAGTTTAATTTATTTTATCTAATCTAAATGTAAAGTTTCCAGTTATCAGAAAACTTGGGGAAGTTGTTTGGAACAAGGTGGGTGTGTGAATTTCCTGCTAAAACTGAAAATTTTATGAAATCCAATCATAGATCAAGAATATTTATGAAAGTTTAGTATCTGAATTGAAATGCACTATATGCATAAAATACACATAGAATTCTGAAGACTTAGTATGAAAAAAAGAATGTAAACTATCTCATTAATTTTTTATATCTCATTAATTTTTTTAAATCCTCATCCAAAAATATTTTTCCATTTATCCTCAGATAGAGAGAGAGAAGGAGAAAGAGAAACATTTATGTGAGAGAGACACATTGATTGGTTGCCTCCCGCACAACCCCGACCAGGGCCAGGGACTGAACTGAAACCAACGTACATGCCCTCAACCAGAATCAAACCCGAGACTCTTTGGTCCACAAGCCAATGCTCTAACCACTGAGAAAAACTGGCCAGGGCGATGTCTCATTAACTTTTAAGATAATGATTACATGTTGAAACAATAATATTTTAGCTATTCCTATTAAATATTAATTTCTATTCTAAATTTAAATATATATATTGTGTACTGGTTAGTTTCACTCAGCGGTTAGAGTATCCACAGGTTTGATTCTAGTCAAGGGCACATACTTCAGTTGCAGGTTTGATCCCCAGTCCAGTTGGGGTTGTGCGGGAGGCAACCATTCAGTGTGTCTCTCTCACATTGATGTTTCTCTCTCTCTCCCTCCCTCCCACTCTCTCCAAAAAAATCAATGGAAAAAAAAATATATATATATATACATTGTATATAAGCATGTTTAATTACATCATGCTCAATCATAGTAAGTGATAAATATTTAGAATATATAGATATTACCTAAATACAATATTAAAATTCATTTCACTCACCCTGGCTGATTTGGCTCAGCAGTTAGAGCATCAGCCCGCGGACCAGAGTCCCTGGTTTGGTCCCCGCTAAGGGCATATACCTCGGTTGCAGTTCGTCCCCGGCCCCTGTTGGGGTTGTGTGGGTGGCAACCAGTTGATGTGTCTCTCTCACATCGATGTTTCTCTCTCTCTCTCTTCCTCCCTCTCTCCCTCCCACTCTAGCTGAAGATAAATACAAAAGTGTCTTTGGGTAAGGATAAAAAAAATTAATTTCACCCATTTCTTCTGCTTTTTAAATGTGGCTTCTAGAAAATTTTATACTACTCACATGGCTTGAAATATTGTAGAAGGTATATTTCTACAGGATGGCGCTGCCCTAGAACTGGGAGGATTTAGGTTAGCGATAAGTCTGCAGTGGTCCTGATCCCAAGGGTCAGGCCTAGCTGTGGCATCTCCAGGAAGCCCCTTCAGGCTCTCTGACCTGTATGTGGCAATGAAGGATGTGGGCCTGGTGGAGTTTGCAGCAGGCGGCAGGGTCCAGAAGCAGTCAACAGCAATCGGGTACCTAAAGGCCCAGCACCACACCCTGGGCTGGGTGGGGACTGCGGGGAGGGGGAGGAGGGAGGAGCATGAGCTTTCGATCCACCCCAGGACTGCAAAGCCCTACCATGGGTTTGTCCCCACCTCACAGCCAGCCAGTGCCAAACATACAGTAGGTGCCTAATAAAGGTTTGTGGAATGAATGAGTATATGAATGAAAGGCACCTACGTCATCTCTCACCCCTACTACAACCTGCGGAGGTAGGAATTATTGGCTTATTTTCCAGATGGGGAAACTGAAGTTTAATAAGCCACAGAGGAGACCTGGGAAGTGGAGAACCCTGATGGAAGAGAGATATTTTACTGTATCTTCTCTGTTACAGTTTGGTTTTGTAGCTCATGAAAAGAATACAGTGCAGTTAATCCCCCACCCCCATCCCTACCCCCTCTCTCTCTAGGTTGTGGATGCCACTTTGGGGTAGGACTCATTTTCTCTGTGTCTCACTTTCCCCACCTGTGCAAAGGGATGGCAACCCCACCACCACCAGGGGGCATGCATACAGGAGGTGTGTGAGCTCCCACCCCACCCCAGAATGTTCCACAGCAAACAAGGTCCAATCCCCAGACTGGCCCTAACCCCCCAACCCCCCAGGGATCCTACATACCTTCTCTTCCACTGCAGGGTGAGTAGCCAGCCCAGAGGGCAAGGGCCAGGAGAAGTCTTAGGGCCATGGCTCCTGTGGGCTCTGCTTTCAAGAGGTAGGGCAGGGAACACCCTCAGGGAGGCAGGGCACGCTGACCCACCTGGGAGGAAACCAGCCCCTGTCAAAGCCCCCCACTTCCCCTTCTCCTGGTCCAGTCCGACTCACTGGCAGGTTGGTGGGGCCGCAAAGAGTCAAGCAGGGACAGCAGAGGAGCAGCCGGACGTCCCTTTACCGGCCACCCTGGGACAAGTGCGTGGAAGGCCCTGAGGGTGGGGGCAGGGAGAAGAGGCCACAAAAGGGAGAAGTGGAGACCCAGTGGCCTTTCCCAGCACAGTCAGTCCTTCCTTCCGGCTGCAGTGAGGAGGGGTTGGGGAAACCCCGGGAAGGGGATGATCACATGGAGAAAGACTGAGACTGAGACAGACAGGAGGGGAGGGACAGAGAGGGAGAGGGAGACAGAAGGAGAGCCAGAGAAGAGATAGGAGACAGAGAGAGATGGAGATAAGAGAGGAGACAGAGAGATAGAGACAAGGAAAAATAAGAGAGAGAGAAATAGACAAGAGAAACAGAGATAGAGACAAAAAAAGAGAAACAGCCCGGAGAATGAGAGAGAGAGAGAGGAGAGCGGCAGAAACAGGAGAGACAGAGACAAAGATCTAGGAAAAAAAGAAGACAGGGACACAGAGAGAGACCCAGGCATCTACATAGGAGACGCCCATTCTCTCATCGACCACAGCGATGGGTCCATACTTACCAGCCACACTCTGCACCCCAGGCCATAGAGAGACAGAAACACAGACCCTGGGGAGGCAGCCTCCACCCCCACGGACATTCTCCTAGCGATGGGGATGCCCAGAGACAGTCGGAACCCCTGCTGGACATCATGCCTGACTGAATGAGCAAGGAAACCCCCAGGGATGGGTTGGGGGGGGGGCATTAACAGTCATAGTCACCTCCCCTCCCTTAGCTGGAAAGAGGGAGATTTCAGGGGATTTCAGGGAAGTTGCCCAGGGGCAGGGAGGTTGGGTTTAGGGTAAGAAAAGTGAGGTAAGTGCAGGCTCAGCTCCTGTCTTCACTTAACACTTGAATATTTTGTTCGTAAACTTTTTGGCATCCATTTTGACTTTTTCAAATATTGCGTTAACATAGCATTCATCCTGGGGACTGAGATTTCGTTGCGGGAGAGGAGTGCCTCACTCTCCTCACCCCAATCTTTAAGACCTGCTCTGGGCCATCCCCACCCCTCCTGGCAGTGGGAGCCCAGCGATCAGGCCACACGCTTTCCTCTGCTCCATGAGCTTTATTCCTGGGGTGGCAGGATGTGAGGGGGGGAACTCACAGATTCTCTGGGGTGGGGGGCATGGTCAGGACCCGAGTGGTGGACAGCCAGGGAGGGGTGCGCCAGACTGATCTCCAAGTTCAGAAGGTCAGTTCATGAGCCCCAACACCCCCTGTGCAAGTCCTAGCAAGCGGAAGGTCAGTGTTCCGAGGCTTAGCGTCCTTGAGCCTGGAGCCTTTGCATCTGTAGGATCTGGCTCAGAATCTGTTGCACTTCTTCATCCATCTGACCCTGTGGTTGGGGGAGCAGAGGGAGAGCCTGGCACCCCTGCCATTGTACAAATGGGAAACGGAGGACCAGAGAGCAGCCAGTGGTATGGCCAAGCCAGGGCTGACTCACCTGAATGGCGTATAGGAGGTGGCTCCGATACAAGGCCACCACTGCACTGTGGTCCCTGGCAGCTTCCTGTGGATATGTCGGATGGCGCTCAGAAAAGCAAGACACCCTCCAAGATGCCAAAATGCCCCCTTTGCACCCTGAGCCCCTCTTTTTTTTTTAATCTTCACCTAAGGATATTTTCCCACTGATTTTCAGATAGAGTGGGAGGGAGAGAGGGAGAGAGAAACATCAATGTGAGAGAGACACATCAACCAGCTGCTTCTGGCATGACCCCGAGCAGCCCCCCCCCCCCCAGGGCTGGGGATCAAATTGCAACCGAGGTATGTGCCCTTGACTGGAATCGAACCCATGACTCTTTGGTCCGCAGGCTGACACTCCAACTGCTGAGCCAAACTGGCCAGGGCCTGAGCCCCTCTTTTGATGGCATGGACCAGTGTGACAGTGCCAGTTGACAAAACATTGCAGTATTTTCCTCCCATGCCCCGAGCCCTCTCCTGGGGTCTCTGCATGAGCCCTGAGTAGCTCTCACCTCCAGCTGCCCCTGTAGAGCCTTCACCTGGTCACGGAGGGCCTTCACCTCGGAGCTGCCTGGGGCTGCTGGTTGGTCCTTCAGCGCCTCCTTAAGACTGAAGACCTCCTTGGAGAGCTCTGTGATCTGGGGTGGGGGTGGGAGGGTTAGCAGTCACATGGTCACCCTGAGTCCAGGGCTGGGGGCAGCAGCAGTAAGAGAGGTGGGACAGAGGTTTTCGAGGGAAGGTCCCATTCTAGGGGCCAGCTCTGGCCCTTGGGCTGAGAATGGTTTTCATCATTTTAAATGGTTGGGGGATTAAAAGTCAAAAGGAGAATGCTATTTTGTGATACATGAAAATTAGATCAAATTCGAATTTCTATGTTCATATATAAAATTTTATTGGTGTGTGGCCACACCCATTCATGATCACTTCACCTGTGGCTCCTGCTGCAATGGCAGACCTGAGCCCAAAACATTGCCTATCAGGTCCTTCACAGTAAAGGTTTGCTGATCCTGTCACATCTCATGGACTCTCTGGAAAGAGAAGGCTGATGGAACAGGGGGACAGGAAACCTGGTGGGGCTGCGTCACACGGCCCTGGGTTTGGGTCCCTCTCTATCCCTTTCTCAGAGATCTTGAGAAGATGACTTAACCCCTCCTAGCCCAGTTTCCTCATCTGTAAAATAAGGAGAATCATGGTTCTCACCAGTTAACTGATTCTAAACAGTGATTAAGTTTAAACTGCTTGGCAAAGAGCCGACACTCAATAAATGCTAAGCTTTATTATTATTCCTATAGATCAGAGGTCTCAATCACAGGCCATTCTGCCCTAGGAGACACTGGGCAATGTCTGGGGATGTGCTTGGCATCAAGTGGGTGGGGCAAGGGGTGGTGCTCAACAACCCAGTGCCCAAAACAGCCCTCCACAGAGAGTGACCTGCCCCTGAATGTCACTAGTGCTGAGAAAGAGGAACTCTGCTACAAATAAAGCATAATCCTTACCACAATTTTATCTTCATTTTACAGAGATGGAAACTGGGGCTCAGAGAGGTCAAGTGACTTATTCAAGGTCACACAGCAAGTCATGTCTGAGTGACTCTTTGCACTAAAGTATCTGGGGCTCTGGGGGTCACATCCCGTGTCCAGCGACATGCTGTGTAACTTTGAGCATTCACTTTGCCTCTCAGAGCCTCAGTTCGCGCATCTGGAAGATGGAGATAAAAATGCTTTCTGGCTCTCAGGGTTGTGAGGTTAAAAGTGGTGGTGTGTGAAACTCAGCTGAGTCTATAACCAGAGGCCTCTGTTATTATTCTTACCATTTAAGAAAAGAACTTGGGAACTTGAGTTTAAACCCTGGAGGAACCATCACATAGCCTGTGACCTTGGGCAAGTGGCTTCACCTCTCTGTGCCTTGGTTTCCTCAAATGGGAATAATAAAAGCCCCAATCTTGTTGGAACTTAATGATAGGATTAAATGCATTAATCCATATTAAATGCATAGCACATGGCCTGCAATGCAATAAGTGCTCAATAAATGTTACTGTGGTAGTTATTAGTAGTTGGGACAGTAGTTTATATATCTGAGTTGTCCTCTTCCTTCTGTGTCTCAATTTCCAATCTGGAAAATGGGATCATTTCCCAGAATCCTTTTAGCTGGGACATTCTTAGATCCCCACACCCCAACCTCTGTTGAGTGGGGGCCTCCAACTAAGTAGAGGAAAAGGAGACCCACCTTCTTGTCCTTCTCTTTGGCTCTGTCCAGGGCCTCCTGGGCACGGCTCTGGGCCTGGCGTGCCTTCTCAGCCTCGGTACGTAGCCCACGCAACTGCTGCTCAGCCGTGGCCAGCTGGGCCTCAGCTGCATGCCGTTCACTCTTCATGAATAATGCCTCACGCTGCACCTGTGGCCCAAGCCCACGTGTGACCCTGAGGACACTTGGACCCCAAAGATGCCTGGACCCCAGAGTTTCTCTGACCTTCTATTTTGTCCTCTTTTTTTATTTTTTATCCTCACCTGAGGACATTTTTGCATTTATCTTCAGATAGAGCGGGAGGGAGAGAAGGAGGAAGAGAGAGAGAGAAACATCAATGTGAGAGAGACACATCGAGTGGTCGCCACCCACACAACCCCAACCGGGGCTGGGGACAAACTGCAACCGAGGTACGTGCCCTTAGCGGGAACCAAACCCGGGACTCTCCAGTCCGCAGGCCGACGCTCTAACCGCTGAGCCAAACTGGCCAGGGCTCCAAGCCTATTTTGATCTCAAGGAGTTTGATTCAGGGAAGTTCTGAATTCCACAGAGCACTATGAATCTTCTGACCCTACCAAACACCTCTGATCTGCTAGCTGTGTGGCCTTACACAAGAAACAACCTCTCTGTGCCTCAGTTTCTTTATACTTAAAATGAGGATAATAATAGCCCCCCACTTCCTAGGATGGTTGTGAAGATAAAATGAGCAAATACATGGAATATGCTTAGAACAGTGCCCAGCACACAGTAAGTGAGTGCTATATTTGAGTTGGTGATATTATTTTTTACCACTAATGTTCTTTTCTCTGCCAGTGGTTGAAAGTTTTTAGATTTCTTACAAAATGAAAGAAAAACCGGAAGAATTTGGATGAAAAGCAAATAGATCTCCAAATATGATGACTGCATTTTCATGAAAATATCGAGATCGAAACAATGTTTGATTTGCAAAAATTGATCCTGGAGGGAACACCAGCCTTTATAGAAATAACAGCTCCAGGGAAAATGGATAATAATTAGATGTTCTGATTAGTATAATTGGCACACATAAGAAGTGATCATGAGAAAGTAAAACTGCAAAGACATCCATGAAGATGGTCATACTTAGGTTGGACTATGATCAAGGGTTTAACTGGTTTAAAAAAGGGTGTTCTTGTCCAGCTGGTATAGCTTAGTTGGTTGAGCATTGTCCCATGCACCAGGAGGTCATGGGTTCAATTCCTAGACAGGGCACATGCCTTGGTTGTGGGATCCATCACCAGTAGGAGGCATGTAGGA